TTTTTGACAAAGTGGAGCGTTTGTGGATTCCACAGATAACAATAGAAAATAATCCTGATGGACAACGGAGCGCCGCTGGAATCTACGAGTCCTCCCGAGACCGCCCGCATCATCATAATTCTTCCCATCTGCGTCCAGGAGGCTCCAGCTAAATTGACCATCCGAAGACCAAGTGGACCGATTCAATCGACCATTCTGCAGTGCGCGCTGAGATGCACACGTGCGCTGTAGCGCCAGCCCGAACGACAGGGGGTAAGGAGGAGGAGGAGGACGAGAAGGAGGAGGAGGAGGAGGAGGAGAAGGAGGTGGAGGTGGAAAAGGAGGGAGGTTGGAAGAACGTCGCATTCGATTATCAACACTTTCCTGGCGTGGCGTCTAGTTGCCCGCAGCAGATCCTCACATATATGCTCCATCTACGTGTCCTATGCACGCAGGCATTGTGGTGTCCACCACCGCTGCGTTGTACGCGGGTGCTGTGGTGTAGACGCGCGCCGTGCCGTGCACAGGCGCTGCGGTGCACGCAAGCACTGTGGTGTACACAGGCGCTGTGTTGCACGCGGATGCTGTGGTGTACACATGTAAACCGGCGCTGTAGTGTACGGAAGCACTCTGGTGTACACAGTTGTTGCGTTGCACGCGTTTGCTGCGGTGTGCGCAAGCGCTGTGGTATACACGCGCGCTGTGGTGCACGCGATTGCTGTGGTATACACAGGCGCAGTGGGGCATATCGCCACCTACGTGCTGCTCGCGTCGTCGTCGTCGTCGTCGTCGTCGCTCGTCGCTCGTCGCGTCGCGTGCGCGGGCGTGGCTGCAGTGCCGGAGCCACACGGCGGTGGGGGCGTTACGTCATGTCCCCCCGTCGCCCCCCCCTCCATGACGCCCGTCATCGCCGAACTTAAAGAAACGCGCTCAGGGGCCCATGCATGAAAAAAAGAAGAGGCCAGATGTATGGGGAGGGGGGATAGAGAAAGGGAGATGGGTCGGGTCGGATGGACGAATGGGGGGAATGGGCCGGGTCGGAGGGAATGGGGGAATAGGGAGAGGGAGGATAACCTCAGGAAGGCATTAAGAACCCCCCCCCCCCCTTTCCGGTGGATTATAACGCCCCCGCACCCTGGAGCGTTATGGCCGCACCGGAAGACCTGGCTGAGGGGACCCACTCACATTCAGAGACACTCTGAGTGCACGCCTCGCTGTCTTTGGAATTTCCGCGCCACGCGGTGCTAAGATAACGCCTCGGTGCGGGCGGGGCGATACCCTCGGATGGACTCCCCCTTAGGACGGCCGGGAAAAATCGATTTCCGTAAAGGAATTGTAATAGGAAGCGCATAGGAACAGGAAGAGCTATACTTATATTCTTACTCGTATTCATATTCGTACTCGTATTCGCATTCTTACTCGTATTCGTATTCGTATTCTTATTGTTACTCGTATTATTACTCGCATTATTACTCGCACTTATTACTCGTATTCTTCCTTCGTTTCTGTTAGCGTGTCCTGAGTTTTCTGTTAGCGTTTCCCTTAGTGTCTGTTAGATTTTCCCTAGTGTGCGTTAGTGGGGCGGCCGCCGATGGTGGATTTTGTTTTCTGTGTGCGGCGGGTGCTAAGTGTATCGTTCGGCTAAAACTGCCCGCCTGGAATATTGAGAAAACCGGGTGCTAAGAATAACCCAGGGGGGGTTCTTAATGCCTTCCTGAGGTTATGGCGAGCTGGGTGCGCTCGCGCCACATCTGATGCCGTTTATCAATCCCTCCCATCCCCTCCCATTCCGTCGATTTTTTCTCTATCCGCGGGCGCGTGTCACAGCCGGCCTGTCCAAAAACGACCCCACCGTGTTATGCGCAATAAAAGGGGTTATGTCGGGTCGGAAGGGCAACGTCGAAGAAATAAGTGGCATTTGCATTGACTTGGCGGTCTGCACGGATTTCTTAGATCTGGGCTGGACCCTCCTCTCAGGCGCGCGGAGCGCGCCAGCAGTGGCGCCGGAGGCGCCGCCAGGGGGCCCCAGCGCCGATTCAGGAAATCCCCTTCGGAGCTCTGAAAAATTATGTTTATGCAGTTTTTCTGACTCTCTGGAAAGATGGGGATGGGTCGGGTCGGACGAAAGGCGGGGTACAGGGAGAGGAGGGGGTACGAAACCTGCTGCGTGCTGCCGTTTTCGTCTCCGCCGCCCGGCGTCCTCCTTCATGCATGGGCGCCGGGAGGCGCCGTGAGGCGCTGGAGATCAGCCGCGTTAGCTGAGTCGCTACGGTTGTTGAAGGTAGGTCTTTCTGGATTCTCAGATTCTTGTCTATTTAAGGCGCATCCCTCCTCCTCCTCCTCCTCCTCCTCCTCCTCCTCCTCCCGCTATTAGTCACTCTCCCCTCCCCTCCTCTTCTCTCTCGTTCCCTCTCTCTCTCTCTCTCACATGCAGACACTCCTCCTCTGCTCCTCCCTCCTCCTCACCCTCCTCCCCCTCCTCCTCCTCCTCCTCCTCCTCCTCCTCCTCCTCCTCCTCCCTACTCCTCCCCCTACCCCTCCCCCTCTTCCTCCCCCTCCTCCTCCCCCTCCTCCTCCTCTTCTGCTCCTCCCTCTCCTCCCCCTCCTCCTCCCTACTTCAACGATCGAGTGGGTGCCCTTCGTCCTTCCTCAATAGGGGGCGGGGCGGAAGCGCAGTCTGCTTCCAGGGCCTTCCTGCCTCCAGGAGGGAAAGAACACACGCAGACACAATTGATCTTCGATTCCCCAGAAAAGATGGGAACATATGGGAAGTGGGGGGGAAGACAAAAACCCAGAAAATATGAGAAAACATGGGGAATCTCTGAATTGCGTGAACTTATTTGTGTGTCCCACGGCCCCTTCATATCTCCTGTTTCTGCCCACTCCTTCCCGCCGACGGGTACGGGGTCCAGCTTGAAGGAGGAACGCTCGCTCTTCAAGAGGGGCTTGGCCGTTCCCCTGATTTGCATGCGCTCCGCCACCTGTTTGAGGCGGCGAGCCCCCTCTGGTGCTCCCTCGGACCTCGCCGACTCACCTGGACACAAAAAGGGGCCTCGCTCCTTACGGCAGGTTCGCGTCGTGTCGACCAGCGGCGACCCCGCCGCGGGCGTTCAAGGTTGAACGCCGCCAGTGGCCCAGAATCGGCCTACATGGAACGATCGGGCGATCGGAAAGCCGCCGATCGCTCAAGGTTGAACGATCCACACGGTGTCAGAAACCATTGCCAGGGTCGTCACGACACGAACTTGCCGTACTCGTCGTTCCTTAGGTCAGGCCGAAAAGCTGTGTGCGTCTGCAGCCCCGGGTGCAGCGCGCGCGCGTTTCGAGACTTCTCGGGGGGGCCTGCTCGGTGGCGGGCGCTCTCCGGGCCACGCCGCAGCCGGGTCACGATGTTTTTGTTTCGTAGGGTGCGTGCTGCTTGTGCTATGTGCTCGGTTCGGACGTGCGCCTCCCAGGGTTGGGGGGCACACAGTGCTGCGTGCTGCTATCAAGTCGGGCGTGTCCCTCCGCAGGAGGAATCCTCAAACATAGCAAAAAAGTAGTACAGTTGGGGTCCTGAAGAAGGGACCCTTTTCGTTGGGGAGGGGCTCCGTGTTCCTTGATCGTTTCACAGCTTCCCTTGGGTTTTCCTTAGGTTTTCGATGGGAAATCGAAGTTTGAACTCGTGGAAAGAAAGGGCCTCGTTCCTTATTTCGGGTTCCTTGGGTCAACGCCCCGACTGTATGGGGACGAATGTTCGATTATTTGCTTGAGCATGATGGAGTACGCTTGGCAATCTTACGTTTTTCCTCCAAGAGACGCCTGCAGGAGGACATGCCCGATCTAATGCTGGCATGTTCTTCTGCGTTCCGTCTCCCGTCCTCTCGCCCGACCTGAGCGGGGCTCCTTCTAGACTCACTTGGCCGCGCCCGAACGGCCGTGCTACGCCCGACGACACGTGTGCACTCCACTCGAGGAAGAAACGCCAGCACAGAAAACGCAACCTTTCGGAGCTCCGCGCGGGGCTGGTGGGATCGGCGCTGGGCCCCGCTGCGCCCCAGATTGGGGGGGGTCAGGCGCCGATCCCAGACATCCGGGCGGAGCTCCGCAAGATGTGCCTGTGCTGTTCTTCCTCTGACCACCGGGTCATGCGCCGAGGCGCCCTGCCTCGAGCTGCGCGCGTGCCCCGACGCGGGTTTCCCAACCGGGCGCCCGCAGGGGCCGCCTCCGTCTCAGTCGCAGTCAGCTGCACCTGCGAGCGAGGAGGACGAGAGAGGGGAGGGGTGGTAGGGGGAGGGGGAGGAGGAGGAGGAGGAGGAGGAGGAGGAGGAGGAGGAGGAGGAGGAGGAAAGATGAAGGAGGACGGATGGGGAGGAGGTCGTCGATATGTACAGGACGAGGGAGGCTAGCTGGCTGATTGCACAATGGTGCTTATCGCATGAGTGCACCATTGATGAGCGCGGTGCGCCGTGGACGACTGGTGCCCTGGCGCTGTCACGAAACACATTTCGCCCTCCCACCCCCCCGCGGGGGTGTCTGGGAATACCTCTCGGGGGCTTGTTGAGGCTGAAGGCCTCTTGGGTTTCGCTTGCGGGCCTCCAGGGGCCTCTTCTGAAGGGGCGACGACGGCGGCGGCCGTACGGCCGTAGCGACGACGACGGCCACGTCGACGCCGAGGAATGACGACGACGACGACGACGACGACGACGACGACGAGGACGACGACGACGACGGCGACGGCGACGGCGACGGCGACGGCGACGACGACGCCGACGCCGACGCCGACGCCGACGCCGACGCCGACGCCGACGCCGACGCCGACGCCGACGCCGACGCCGACGCCGATGCCGATGCCGACGCCGCCGCTGCCGCCGCCGCCGCCGCCGACGACGACGACGACGACGACGACCACTGGACGCACGGACGAGCGGACGGATGGACGGATGGACCGCGACGACGAGCGGACGGATGGACGGATGGACCGCGACGACGAGGACGACGGCGAGGACCAGGACGAGGATGACGACGACCGCGGCCCAGAG